TTCTATGTTAGGCACAAAGGCACAAAAACTTTCTAAAGTACCATAAAGTTTTTGTGTACTGTATTATTAGTGTTCTGAAGCTATTATGTGATATAGAAATTAATATTTAAGTCATTAAATTCAAGAACACAAACTTTTCCCTCTCTGCGCCTGTCAGTCATTCTCCATTCAGCATTCAAACAGCACGTCACATTCGGTTACAGTCAATGATGAAACGATCTTCAAGATGATTGAATGTTAATCCTATTATACTGGATCTTTAAGATAAAGGTCTAAAGGTCTATATTTTCGAATGAAGAAACTTTTTCTTGCTGGACTTTATTGCTGTAACTTAACCGTGTTACTTTCTACCGGGTGTCGGACGCTGTCGGTTAGATCACAACACTAGAGTCAGAGCACTATAATTGTTCTTCACGCACACAGTAACTGAAATTTAAAACCTTTAAAAGAAAAGGCTCAATAAACTATTGCATAGATAGATAATGTATAATACACTGTTCATAAATATGTATTTCCTTTGTGCTTTGAACTTTTCAATACGGACTCACTGCGCTGTAACTTCATGTGGCTTCAAGCACATCATTCTCCGCTCGGGATGCACATAAGTGCTTTGTGCTGCACCGTATTGGAGCCGTAATATCATAATGCAGTGACGTAATGACAGATTATTAATTGCCTTTCAATTATATGTTGCTGCGTCATTAAACATCTGTCCTATGCATTTCAAACATTTATAGCAGCCATGGCTATATTTTTTTTATGATTTTTGTTATCTTGTTTTTCATGAATGTATTTTTCAAAAATAAGAGCAATGTGTATTATCTATTATTAATATGGTTTATAATAGCATTTTTGTCATAGATTATGACAAAGTAATCATATGATCCACCAGCGAGGAACCAGCAGAACAGAGTGAACATTCTTTCTGTTTAGTTCAATCCTACTTAATAGGAATTTATTTAAAATGCTCGCTCTACTCCACACCATTAATGTCTTGTGCGGACATCCGTATTTCGACTTTCGATTTTAAGTAAGCGATTTAAAAGCTCCCAAGTCCCAGCGGAGTCACACGTTGATTAACCGGTGGGAATATACACAATAGGCCTACCTGATATTGAACACAAGAGGGCAGTATAGCACTACGTATGACTCAGATTATTATTTTTTTATGAATTTTACAACAATTCTGGCTGTTTTTGAACGTAAACATAATTCTTAAATGAAAAAAAAGGAAAAATTGGGGAAGTTATAATATTTGTATAATTTAATTTAGAAACAAATGATGTATAATTACATTTTTAGAAGATATGAGGCTTTTAGTGTTTACTTTTTTGACATTACTTTAATCTTTTGCCATAGTTGCACATGTCTACTGGCTAATAAATGTGATGTATCTGTTGAGTTTCAAGCAATTTCAAGCATGCTAAGAGTCCCAAAAGCATCAAAAAAGAATGTTAAAGTTCGATTCGTTGCCACGGCAACAGTATCAAAGATATCAAAAATTCATTCACAGGTCTACATCTGCCGTGTATTTACATTATACAGATGAAGTTTGAAGCAAATCGGTTAAAAATAAGAGATTGGTTTCAAAGCATTTTGAAAGTGACACACTTCCTGCTGCCAGTTGGTGGCGCTATAATTTTGACTCACAATAGTCACATCCATGTGATCGGTCTCTTACAGCGAAAACACTGCTGAAGTTTCATCAAGATCAGTTAATGTATGCTGAAGTTATAACACACATCCTGTTTCATGTTTCTCGCCATAATTTCGTTTCCTCGCCACGGCCAAACCGTTCGAGATATAAAAAATTCCTTGGCACCTTTTCATTCTTAATGTCTTGACTTCACGCTGATCGAGTTTTGTCGAATTTGGTTCAGTGCTCTAGGAGCAATACTTTAAATTCCATTGCATGTGTTTTAAACACAACCCTAAATAGCCGTCTTCCTGTTGGGCTGGGGTAAAAAGTAAGAGTGTGAAGTAGGCTATATATGAAACGATGAGATCTATATGTGTACCAAGTTTCATATTATTACATGCAAGTGTGTTTGATTTATGGACCAAATTTTCAGACCAAGTTTATTGACCAAGTTAATCTGATTAATAAACTAATTATATAAAACTATTGTCAATGCACTACAATTAAACTAGTTATATGTCTTTACTTATAAAAAATAAAAATAAAAACTTATTTAAAAAATACCAGGCTTGAGAAATGTATTTTCTTTATGCAGGTCATACACACAGCAGTGAAATGGTTAAGCCCCCTCCCCCTGCACACTCACACACACACAGACAGCCAGCCAGCCAGCCAAAGACACAGAGACATGTAGGCTCAGAGTGACCATATTCAAACAAAAATATCTGAGTTTCTGTGGGTCCTAGCTAATAAGTGTAAATTAGAAAGTTGTCCGGCTCGAGGAGTACAATATACATACCAATTTTTGTAACTCTAGTTAAAACTAACAACCCCACTTTTGTCAAAAGGTGGCGCTACTGAGCCCTCACCACGCCCGTTTCTGAAACTTTGCACATGTCTACTGGCTAATAAATGTGATGTGTCTGTCGAGTTTCATGCATTTTGAAGCATGCTAAGGGTCTCAAAAGCATCCTAAAAGCATCCTAAAAGAAGGGTAAAGTTTGATGCGTCGCCACGGCAACAGTTTCAAAGATATCAAGAATCCATTCACAGGTCTACATCTATCGTATGTTTACATTATACAGATGAAGTTTGAAGCAAATCGGGTAAAATAAAAGGGTGATATCAAAGCATTTTGAAAGTGACACACTTCCTGCTGCCAGTTGGTGGCGCTATAACTTTGACTCACAATAGTCACATCCATGTGATCGTCCTCTTACAGCGAACACACTGCTGAAGTTTCATCAAGATCAGTTAATGTATGCTGAAGTTATAACACACTTCCTGTTTCACGTTTCTCGCCATGATTTCGTTTCCTCGCCACGGACAAACCGTTCGAGATATCAAAAATCCCCTCGCAAACTTTCATCCTCAATGTCTCGACTTCACGCTGACTGAGTTTTAGTCGAATTTGGATCAAAGCTCTAGGAGGAGTATTTGACATTCCATTGCGAGCGTTTTACAAACAAACCTCAATAGCCGACTTCCTGTTGAGCTGGGGTAAAAAGTAAGAGCGCGAGGTATAGATGAAACGATGAGATCAACATGTGTACCGAGTTTCATATTATTACATACAAGCGTGTTTGAGTTATGGACCAAGTGTTCGGACCCCGTTCCAGGGGGCGCTGACGAGCCGCCCTGCCACGCCCGGGTACCATCTTCAGCCCGGCTCTGATGGCCGCGGGTTCTGACCCGTGTGCAAAGTTTCAAGAGTTTTCGAGCATGTTAAGGGCCCCAAAAATGCCCAAAAGGTAGCAGAAAAATAAAAAGAAGAAGAAGAATAATAAATAATCCCAAGGAAAACAATAGGGCCTTCGCCCCTTCAGGGCTTGGGCCCTAATAATCCTTAGGAAAACAATAGGGCCTTCGCCCTTTCAGGGCTTGGGCCCTAAAAATAAAAATAAGCTTACTTTAAATAGACAGACTTACAAACTTCATCTATAAAATGAGAGAAATTTTCCTAATTTTCACTTGAAAATTTTAAAGTAGCCTATATTTGAGTTACTGACATAGCTTTCTTATTTTTAACCCGTTTAAGAGACTCACAATATAGCCTATCAGTTTCAATTTGAAAAAAAATTAAAACATGGCCTTTATTTGGAGAATTTAGCTTTATGAATATGGAATTTACCTACATCACTGTTGTTTAAACCAATGAGCATTAAGCAGTGTCGTCAGCAAGTCGTTTCCCATCATGCTTTTGATCAGCGCAGTCGGTGGAGAGCAACTGCGCGCGACTGCAGAATCCGACCCTTCCGCCTTGCGCTCGCGAGAGTTTTTTGACATACGTCGGCATGACATCAGAGCCAGGCGGACCGTTCTCGGACACATTTCTAACCGGCATGCATCTCGCGTTGATCACCGGTGATCGATTCTGCTCATCTCAAACAAGCCTCTTCTCGTCGCCGAATGGAACATTCCGAGCGCCATAGCATCCAGCCGCAGGCGAGGTCGAACACACCTAACGACTTCTGGCCCAACGCCGGCTTTGGAAGCTCAATTCATACTTTGCAAATGACGTCACAAGTAAAGGCTGGCCGGCAAGAACGCCGTTCTCTAGAAACGAAACCCACCAGATATTCCTGTTTATCACCTCCAGCGTTGTTAACCCATCCAAACTTGAAAAAAAGCCATAGATAGGCCTACTTTTTGTAGGCTTTCGGCGGTGACGGATTATATGATATAAATATCTCCAAACTACAAGTCTGGTAGAGACTTTGCCAGCTTCAATGAAAACATGATGCAATTTCTGTAAAACTGCTTTGAAACAATAGCCTATGTAGGCCTATACGAATACATTTGAATTTAATTGAATTGAAGAATAAACCTGTCCTGCTCAGCCAGTTTCATTGAAGTTCTGAGACAAGACCCTGCCTGAACATGCAATACCATGTGTTTCACAAACAGAGAAAGTTTTCACATCATGAAAGAAAGGTATGTATTCCTTTTTGTTCTCACTGACGCTCAAAACGTGACGCCGATGGATTTGCCCCTCCTCGCAGTGAATGAATGACTACCGGCCCATGCAGCGGCGGTGTGAATAATGTGAGTTCTCTCAGATCCCCTGTCCTCTTGAGTCCAGCTCCCGCCAGTTCATCAAGCTTGCCGATGACAGAGTTCTGGTTTGTATCAGTTGATTATAAAACAGTCATAATCCACTTGGTTCTGAAAAATCTCTGTTGACATTGAAGTTATCAAGCTTTCAGCATTGATTGATAAAATGGGGTTAAATTACTTATGCCCATTCTTTAAGTCTCAGTAAAAACAGTGTGTGTGTGAGTGAGAGTGAGAGTGTGAGTGTGTGTGTGTGTGTGGTTGGAGCGTGTGTGAGAGTGAGAGAGAGAGAGAGAGAGAGAGGTCGATCCAGGGTAAAAGGCGACACACGCACACGCGCGCACATTGTAGCTTATGTTTCTCCGATGGCATCGGCGTGTCTCCAGTGGATCTTCACACTGTCGATGGTCTTGGTCATCTTTCAGGGTGTGTGTGTGATGTTTTACTACACAGCCGACACACACTCGTCCAGGTGAGCGCTTAATCTCGATATTTAATTACTATAATCGCTTTTTAAATGAATTCCAATCGGGCTCCGTGTTGCTGTTTTTTTTTAAGTGACCAAGTAGCCTAAGTCTAAGTTTTTTTTTTTTTTTTTTTTTTTTTTTAAGTTTATGCCTAGTTAAAGATTTGCGTGTTAATAAGTGAGTTGTTTTATTCTACTTGATGACGGATACATGTGCACGGCGTCATAAAGTTGTTCAATTGTTTTCTGAGGAGTCTAAGAAACGCACAAGTGATATTTAATTGTCATTATTTCAGATGAAAAGGTCGTTATAATTTTAGTCGGAATAGGAATGTTTTAGATGTGTTGTGCTGGAGTAGCCCAGGGCTGATCATGAGTCAGAGAAGCTGTTTCACATATTATAAAACCTTTCCCAGATTACAAACAATCATTGAGTAAATCAACTTTCCGTTGTCAACATTAAGTCATTTGATCAACATCGAATCGTTTTAATAACAACATTGAAATCCTGTCATTTGATCAACGGAATTTCAATGGTATTTCAAATATTGAAACAGTGCTGAAATTTCAACTGAACTAAAGATCAACGTGATTTCAATGGAATTTCAATCGTTTTTAAATGTAATGCCATAAGTTAAATAAATTAAATAGCATGCTTTATCTACAGCCAGGATGTTAATGGGACATTTGAAATCTTGTATAAAACACTGAACACACCATGTTGTTCCAATATCGGTGCCATCAACATTGATAACATCAGGTTTTCACGATTTCAATCTGCATAAAACAATTATTTGTTAAATGTGTATGCTACATATTTGTATTTGAAACGTATTTACTTAAAGGAGCAATGTGTGATTTTTAGCGACATCTAGTGGTTCGGTTGCGAGTTTGCACCAGGTTTGCACTAAATGCTCAGCCCACTGCTCACCCCTCCCTTTCGAAGAAGCTACGGTTGCTAAAACGGGACAAACATCTCGTCGGCTGAGACAGCAGAGAATAGCCAGAGTAAGCCAAGAGTGTGTAACATTGTCACTGTTTCTGTACCACAGTCCATTATAAACCACATCATGGATACTGTCTGTTTACAAAGCCATAGTCAGATGAGGATCAAGGGTTTTAATATATAATTTAATAAAATAATAATCAGCTGATTGTCTCACAAACGTAACCAGCAGCACATTTCTCCACACATACTGTAGCAAACCCATAATACAGCGAGGGAGCAGCTATATATTTTTTCTAACAGGGTAGTAATAGTTTAGCTGGCTAATATGAGCTGTTACTGTGGCTGAGCTGGGACGCGTCCGCATCGCATGAGTCCAAAGGTCGGAAGTGCGCGCGCTGTTACAATCATGTCATCTCCGCATCCCATAGATACTATTTACTACACACAATAGGCTTTTTTCTCTGATTTTGAAAACTCTTCATGATCGACTTTAGTGATCTAAAAGTCTCTATCGACGGCTTAGTGATTCCTGTAACGTACTGTTTTACGGTCAATGACATGAATACTAATCATCAGCTGTCTCACGAACGTAACAGCACATCTATCCCCAACATAACAAACCCATAACACAGCGAGGGAGAACTAAGTTACATGAAACAATCCCAACTACATATTTTACACCACTCACAAGGGAAAAGTCACTACTCACGGAGTGTAAGGCTAGCTTCCAGCTTTCCGCTACTTCTCTTTCAAGGTAGTGATGAAACGCGTTCTGTAGCGCTGTTTGTTTGCGTTCGGCTACGGAATATGACGTCACAACATGGCGACCTTCATAGAAGGGGATTCCCGCGGTTATGGAGCTATTAATGTCTCATTCTAAGGTAATAAAAACATTACGGTTAATTAAGTAAGTTCTTTATACACCACTGAAAACATAGTTATGGATGTCATATTGCATTTCTGTTAATAGATACTCAACTTTTTTACACATTGTACCTTTAAAAAAGGAAATGCTGTAAGATATGTTTGGCGCAATTCCACATAAGGCCAGTTGGTGTCACCAACACAATTATAATTGTGTGTGTGTATGTGTGTGCGTGTGCGATAAGGCATAGTTAGCGAGTCCAAATATCTACACAAGTATAGTAATATAATTAAATTTTGATCTTGTCGATTTTTCTTTTTGTATGACATGTAGGTTTCGTGTAATAGGACAGAATAAACTGTCAGGAATGGAATATCCCTTGAGAAACATGAAAACCAATCAAATTTACTTATACTCGCCTTATTTTAGAATTTCATTTTCTTTATTATCCATTGGAACCCGGTGGTATTGTAAATATCCAGCCCATACTGAGAGATCTATCAGTAGCCTATTGATGATTGTAAGTGTAATTAAGTCAACCAGAAATATATTGACTTTATTATAATCCAGTACAGACAAGAGTCCAGATCCAAACAAGTAAATCCAAGAACAAGAACCAAACGAGAAACAAGCAAAACAGACTTCTTGAAGTGGTGTGACATACAGCAAGGGCTCATGACAAACACTGAAGCACACACATAATTATGGTCATATAATTAGAATATCAACTAAAAGTTGATTTATTTCAGTAATTTTATTAAAAAAGTGAAACTATACTCATTACATGCAAAGTGAGAAATCTCAAGCCTTTATTTGTAATAATTTTGATAATTATGCCTTGTGAAAACCACAAAACCTTTTCATGTAATATACAAGTTTCCTTTTAACGGAATAACTGAAATAAATCAACTTTTTGAAGATATTATAATTATATGACCAGCACACAAATATATGCATACATCTTGCCCAGACTTCAAAACAATGCACAACCACAAAGTTCATAAATATTTTATTTAACATTTAGTGGTTGTAAAAGAAAAAAAGAGCGTTTGTCATAATGTCAATGGTTCCCTTTACATCTCTCTCTCTCTTCCTGATGGATAAAGTTTTTAATTTGTTTTATTTGGACATGGATTATTCAAATAAAAGGAGGGGTTGTGAAAGTTGTCCCCTGTTGTCCTCTACTGAATGACACTGGTTTGATGTCCATCAATGAACTTGATGAGATAATCCAAAAAAAGTGTTAATTTTGGACATGTTGTGTAAGGGAGGCCAGCTAGCTGCAAGTAAACCTCACTCCTCTGATCTCAATCGGTGCTCTAGTCTAGACAGGCACTAGTGGCTGCAGTCTTTAGCCTCCTTGTTAGAGCGCCTGACTCTCATGCCGGAGACCTGGGTTCGAGGTCCGTTCGGAGCGGGTTAAGTGGGTTACACATGTGATACCCATTTCAGCCAGTAGGGGTAAAGGAGAGGCTGTTAAAGACGCCCACTGAGGCCCCCTACCGAACTGCACTGGTCTTATGTCAATAGGCCCTTTAAAATGAAAAAGCCATTACAAAAACACGCACCGCATTTTCCTTAAAAACGAAGAAAAAGTGCACTTTCCCCACGCTCCCTTACTCGAGCTTTCCCGGCCAAACTCGCATTGCGGCGCTTTTGAGGGGCAGTGCTTATTATATAGAGCTAAAATACGGAAAATTAAGCTTCTCAAACATTGTTAGCCTTGCCTTTTACCGGCAATAGGGTTTAAATAATTGTTGGTCAAGTCGTTTAGGAGGTTTTGCCATTTTTAAAGGTGCCATCTAACATCATAAATCAAATCCTACTCCATGTTCCATAACAGATGGGGGCAGTATACCTCCAAAAAATGACTTGTGCTCCTACCATCGCGCATGTTATTCAAATCATTTGACATGATAGTAAAAGGTTGGAAGACCGCAGTTTCACGTGGAACATTTGGAGATTTTTAGAGATCAGAGACTCAATGAACTAAACGCTATGAATCTCAACACTAAATGATGAAGACCGCCTCATAGATCTCAAAAACAAGCTGGTGCATTTCGACGGTATGGGAAAATAAAAGCTTGGGCAATTATTTGAAGTTTATGGTATTCGTTTTGTTCATATTACACTTTTATTGTTAGTGAATTAATTTGACAGACAGCATTCGCTGATGTTGATCAAGCTAGCGCCGTGAATTCACCGTGAGACACACGCAATTGACACTTAGCAAGCAGGTTAGTTAAGCTCTCAGATTCTGTCAATTATATTACGCAATTCAAAGAATAAATACCGTTTTGGCGCTTGTACATGTTACACTACAGATCCCTAGCGCACGTGAACCGATCGTCTCTACTAGCTTGAAAAAGAACATGAACACTGGTGAAAGATACAGTATGCTACAACTTACCAAAATGTATTCCTCATGCATAATGTCGACCAATCATTTTTTGAACTTTTCCCTGAACTGAAATGTAGTAATTGGCTGTATTTCCACACGACTGACATCAGGTTCAAGTACACACAAGCCGGCGCGAGCGCGACTCACTCGTCTATTGCAGTTTGGCTGGTGCTAACGTTGCCCGTCCGCATACCGCCTCCCATGGCCGGAACTGGTATTACGATACCTGCCGGGCCGGGGCTAGTAATTTAGCATGCTAATTCAGGTTAATATCTCGGCAGCACTATAACTTATCTAATCTTTGCACTTATTTCTTCTCATTCTTTTGATGCGTGTAGCTCATTTTTCGTATATTGTTACCTCAATTATTACATATGGCACCTTTAAGCGAATCCGGGGAATGAAAACAAAACTAAGTTGCATTCTCACCTCAAGGCGTCACCTTTGACCATGCTTCAATATTTGACGTTTTAGGTGCCCTTTAGCGTCACTTGCATGACGCGATCCTACAGCGTCATCTAACTGACGCTAAAGGAAAGCGTCAGTTAAGCCTAGTTCACACTACGTGATTTTAAGCCCGATTTAAGCCCGATTTGCAAATCGTTGAGTCGCCGACGAGTCAGGGTGTTATCGCGTGCAAATTGCGGGCGATTAGCGGACGATTAACGCTCGCCAATCCGTTAGTGTGAAAGAGCCAACAACACATCAAAGACAGCTCGCAGACAGGTCACCGAGCTCAGAAAAATATCTAGCATGCTAGATATCTCGAGCAGTCGCGCGACTCAATCTCAGTGATGTCATGAGTACAGCCAATCATAGCAACGCATGGGTTGAGGACACCAGGTAAATCTTACTTTTTCTTTTTTGCATTTTTTTTTCTCAGAGCAGATCGTCGAGCAAACAGTGTGCAGCACTAGTTTCTGTCTGACGTCCATATTCGCGTGTTGTGTTCTTCTCTGCAGTTTCGCGTCATTTCTGGTTCGTTTTATTGCGTGGTTTTTCGTGACAAAACATGGTTTCTAGTCCAGATAGAATCGTGTTGATGTCAACTCGTTATTTGTTTGATTATTTTCAGGATTTAGACCGTACTATAGAAACAGCTCTCATTGAGTCACAAATGATATGCTCTTATCATCCGATCGTGGTTGTATCTCTGTGTAGTGCGTTGTTAACTCGTGTAGTGAGTTACCTCCTGTTGTGGATCAATCACGTTGTGTTGTGTGGTGTGAACAGCTAAACAACTTGAACACTCATGATTTCACTGAGAGCAAGTCATGTAGTGTGAACCGCACAGTTCAGCCCGACATTTTAAAATCATGTAGTGTGAACTAGGCATTAGAGGACGCGGTTAGGTTTAGGTCTGGGGTGGGGGTAGGGTACACGCGATCCTAGGGCGTCACCTGACTGACGCTAAAGGGCGCCTAAAGCGGCTGGTCCAACAGGTTAGCTATCTGCAGTTTTGATCCTGTTGATCATTTAGCGTGTGTGCTTGTCATTTTCACATTGCCACACACACAGACATTCATGTAGTGTCACTGTGTGTTTGTGTGTGTATTTTGTTTCAACAAAAGGAAATTCAACAGTTGCCAGTATTACCAGTATATCTACCAGTATTATTATAAAACATAAAAATTATAATCGTAATATAAAAATATATCGGCGCAGGAATAGACTGAGCCTAGGTAAACCAACCCGGAAAACACTTTTCAGACTGGATCGAGATATCCAGCTTTATGAATGAATGAATGAGTAAGACTTAAAGCTCTTTCATATGTCTACTCAAAGCGGTTTACAATCATATCAGAGAATTATTTTTGAAAGCCCAGATAAAAGTTAAAAGCTATCATTTTTTGTTGATCCATGGCAGTTCGACTTCACAAGTGCTTTTCTTTAAACACACGCTCGCCGACTGTTATGAATGCACACGCTTCTATAGAAGACTGTATTATCCTAATCTTATGTATAATCTTTCGACTTTTTTCAAACTCTCGAAATGTATCGACTTTAATCTCGAAAATGCTAGATTACTTTTTAACAAAAAAACAAACAACAAAAAAATGACATGCTCTTCTTCTTTCAGAGATGCGATCACAAAGGGGTTTCTGAGGCTGCACTGTGAAAAACTCAGACGCAAGTTTTCAATCATCAAATCGGCCAAAAGGTGCGTGAGAATGAAGATCAACCAGCGATCCTATTTCGCAGAACTGACCATTGAATGAAATGTCTTTGTTTCCCTCTCAGTATAAATTTCGAAAGGTTCACGCAGGAGCTGTCAGATTACACGAGCTGCCCGTACAAATATAACCAAACTGAGCGGGAGCTGAACAGGTGTGTCTTTAACATCCTCACATTCATGCGTATGCGTTTGACAGGTCGTCAATCCCAGATAGCACAAGGGTATTTGATGTCCTATTTACATCTGGATGACGTATTTTAAAGAGTGTTTGCTCATCTGCAAGACGTCCATAGGACGTTTCAGATGTCAAATAGACGTCTTGCAGATGAGCAAACACTCTTTAAAATACGTCATCCTGATGTAAATAGGACATCAAACAGCTTTGTGCTATCTGGGAAGTGACTAGCATAGCATTCAATGTTGACATTTTGTCAAGCTGCAATCTGTTGTATTTTCTTGGAATTATGATCTTGGCATGATGATATAGCCGATAAGGCCTATAAATGCAGTCCATTTACCATATAACATTAAAAAAGAAAAGAAAAGGAGAACAGGATCCAGAGCATGAGGTTACAGAATTTTTTTTTATTGTAGTAAATAACATCTTCAGTTACATAAAGTACAGTAATGCAATATCTAATATAGTAATTGCAAATAATAAAGAGAAAATAGGATGTACCTTCTGTATGAATGTTAAGTGCTGCTATGTATAATCCAAGGAATGAAGAACAGGACACGGTGTATAACTGTTCTCCTGTATTTTACTTGTTTTATTGTATGTAGCGCTTTGGGTTTTAGAAAAGCGCATTATAAATGAATTATTATTATTATGTTTTAAAGTTAGTCCATAGGCTAGAGTATGGTACTTTGTATACTGTGTGACAAAATATGTCGCGCACACACACACACACACACACTATCCACGAGATTATGTCACTGTAGCTTGTGAACATCCCATTATCTGATTATTATTTGCGGTCAGAGAACACCATTAGCTCACACATCTCTTTAATGGTGTGATGGATATTGAAGTGTTAGTTAAAAATAAAGGTATTAATAACAAACAAACAAATACTTTAAATCAACATGAAACCATATTAATAAATATAAATAAATGCAATATAATTACAATTATTTTCCTTTAGGTATGACTGTATGACAGAGACCAAAGTTTTGCGTTGGTGGTTGAGACCTCAAACAAAAGCTACAGGAACAACTTGTCCATTCAGTTGCATATTTCTTTTGTTTCTTTATTCTCTGTCTTTGTCCTTCGACCAATGAGTTTTTGAGCAGCACTGGTGCATATCGACAGAAACTAAAAACAAAAAGGTTTTGTTGAATTTTACAATGCTACTTTTCTAAAAAATGTGTCATACATAATTGTTAGCATGATTATCTTGTTTCATTGCGTATTAAGTCCATATTTATCAGGCTGATATTTGGAGAGATTAAAACAAAAACGGGTATGAAGAAATGTTTGGTTTTTAACTTTTTATTCTTTGAAAAAGTGTCTTCAGCTCATCACTGACGGGAGGGCTTTGTTCATGACAACTTAAACTATTTGCTTTTTGGATTTTTTTTATCATTGCTTAAAGAATATTCGAACACATGCAATCTCTCGTTCTGATCGCAGAGAGAGAGAGAGAGTTTATCTAATTGCGTAGTATTAAGATGCTATAATTTAATGGCAGTTATTTTTACCTTATACTTTATGCTTTATGTTCTTCAGAGCCCTCAGACAATGCGGTTTGTAACAAACATGTCAGTCTTTTTTAGACGCATACTATCACTTTTATTATTTAATGTTTTACCATACAGTTGGGATATGTGACATTTTTTATTTGACGATATTTATAGGCTACAGGTTTATTAAAAGTAGCTACCAATGTTTCATGTAAAATTCACTTTAAAGACATTAGCAGTTTCATTCATGTTGAAAACATGAAACGTGTCATAATTTAGTGGAGATTGCTGCATCAACTCCCACACAAACACTGTTGCTAGTGCTCAATGAATATAGTTTGTGCATCACTGTTTTATTCTGGAATGCTGAGGGATGAACCCGCGTGACAAAGTTCCTTCAACTTGCATAAATCAATATCAATATATTAATGTCAATATTAAATCAACATATCACACTAGGTCAAAGATTAGATCATCAAAGGCACAGGCTAGTGAAAGTCACCAGATCATTCAACATTGTACAAGTCATATCTCATTGTAACATACTACTACTACTATATTGAGCGACACGAACAACTTGTCCGTTCAGTTTCACATTCCTTTCGTTTCTTTATTCCTCTGTCTTTGTCCTTCGACCAAGAAGTTTTAGAGCAGCATTGGTGCATATCCCCCAAAAAAAAAAAAAAAAAACACCCACCCGTTTTTATTCAAATTTTGAGATATTGCTTAAAAAAAATGTCAAGATGCGCATGAATTCTAAAAATGTGCATTAAATGTATGAATGCATCTGAGGCGGATCTTTTTTTTTTAGCTGATAAATTGTGATGGAAACACATTTTTTTGAAAATAAATCCCTGGATGTCCCTCAGCGTCAGCTGTGATTGGATAACTGGAGTAACTAGAAAATAGGTGAAGGTTTGAAGAATTGTGCAAAACTGTAATGTGGCAGCTTTCTAAAAAACATGACATTATTGTTCGAGACACGGCGTTTAAAGAGACGAGCTGTTCAAACTGTTCAAACAATAAAGCTACTGAAGTGGGTCGTTTTAACAGAGATGACACTGACAAAGCTGATCATGCTACATTAATACTCATAAACTCTCTCTCTGTGTGTGTGTGTGTTTATGACAGAATCCGGTTGCAGTTTTGTTGTAACGCCACAGGATCATTCATCCTCACCAAACGCAACACAGCCATCAATCAATCCATCCAATATGAAACAAGCACAACAAAAACATACAAAATGAATGCAGCACTTCACAGTATGCTGCCTGAGGTGTGTGTGTGTGTGTGTGTGTGAGAGAGAGAGTGCGTTTGAGAATGCATGTGTTCGTCCGTGTTTGTGTGTGTGTGAGAGAGCGAGTTTGTGAAAAAGAGTGTGTGTGTTTTGAGCCGGACAATTTTGTCCGTTTTTGAGGAAAACAGCTGAGAAATCAAACTAGGTGAGGTTTTCTGATAATGATGACATGGGTATAAAAATGTACCCAGTATATGGCTTTATATATATATATTTACATACAGTATATATACATACAGTTGTGGTCAGAATTAATGGCACCCCTAGGGTATGATCAAAAATGCCTGTAAAAAAATAAATTGCATTGTTTATCCTTTTGATCTTTCATGAAAAAAAAAACATACAGCGATGTCAGGCACTGTAATTTGCTCTGGCCGCCTTTCCTGTTTGCAGGAGTGAAGAGATACTTACTAGACTGTACTCACTCAATGCCTGGCTAAGTTAGATCCGCAAAATAATATTGAATTCATAGACAATTAGAAAAGTTTTTGGGGCAGACCTGACCTGTTGAGAAGAGATGGTATTTGTGCTGCTCTTCTCTCTAGTAATATGGCACATAATCTTAGAGCTCAAACATGACAGTCTGGGGCTCAGGTCAGGAAGCAGACAGACTGGCTAAACCGACCGTCTGCAAAAATAAATAAATCCCATCAAATAGAGACTCTTTCACCAAGATATCATCACATAGAGACTGTGTCTGTTCCCAGAATAAGGACATACAAAAAACTTCCAAACCCATTTAGGTTTAAAAATGTAATTGGTTCAACTAATAAAAAAACAGATAAATGAGCCACTGATAAATTCGATACCTTACTTCAAAAGCACTTATTGTTAATGATATGATTACAGATTATAACCTAGATGTGCTGTGTTTGACAGAACACTTGGCTAAAACCAGACGATTAAATGAGTCCACCCCACAGATTACGATATGATACCCACAACATATAAACATGATCCTCGTCTGAAAGGCAAAGGTGTTGCTGTAAATTATAGTAATACTTTCAAAATTACTAAGAAGTCGACTTTCCAGTATAATTCTTTTGAAGTGTTTGTGCTTATGTAACTATCTAGTGTAAATCATAAATCCAGTTTGAGAACATCCTTTTGTTTAAAGTGCTATATAAATAAAGATGATGACTTGACAAAGAATCCGGTCCCTCCAGTCGTGTCTGACATCTGAATATGCTGGAGTTTATGCTTGAAGATCGAGAGGATTTTTTTCTGTGGTGATTGCTCTTCTTAATTATTGCCCTGATGGTCAAAATGGGGATTTTCAACTCTTTAGCTATTTCTTTACAGCAACTTTCTATTTTGTAATGCTCAACTATCTTTTGAAGCACATCCGAAGTTTTTCTTCTCTCCATTGTGATGGAGGATTAAGGCCAAGCTTTCAATTATTTCACTTCAATGAAAGGTTAGATTTTTGCCATTTTTTTAAATGAAAGATTAAAAGGATAAACAAAGCAGATGTATTTTTTTATTATATTTTACCAGGGGTATGAGCATAACATTTTGTGTGATGAGTATATTTAAATATACAGTTTGTAAAAAAGTCCCCATGAACCACATATTTAACTGTGTGTGTGTGTGCAGGACATCCCTGGTCCGGTCGGCGTCTGGGTCGGTGTGCTGTGGTCGGCAGCGGTGGGATTTTGAAAAACAGCAGCTGTGGACGTGAGATTGACAATGCAGACTTTGTCATTCGGTAAACACATCCCACACCCACACACACACACTATCCACGAGATTATGTCACTGTAGCTTGTGAACATCCCATTATCTGATTATTATTTGCGGTCAGAGAACACCATTAGCTCACACATCTCTTTAATGGTGTGCTGGATATTGAAGTGTTAGTTAAAAATAAATTTATAAATAACAAACAACAAATACTTTAAATCAACATGAAACCATATTAATAAATATAAATAAATGCAATATAATACAATTATTTTCCTTTAGGTATGACTGTATGACAGAGACCAAAGTTTTGCGTTGGTGGTTGAGACCTCAACAAAACAAAAGCTACAGGAACAGCTTGTCCGTTCAGTTGCTTTTGTTTCTTTATTCTCTGTCTTTGTCTTCGACCAATGAGTTTTTGAGCAGCACTGGTGCATATCGACAGAAACTAAAAACAAAAAGGTTTTGTTGAATTTTACAATGCTACTTTTTCTAAAAATGTGTCGTACATAATTGTTAGCATGATTTTGTCATTTGTCATCCAGACTTTGTCATTCGGTAAACACATCCCATCATTCTTTGCTCTCACACTGAC